GCTCTTCAGGCGCACCTTCTCTGCTTACCTAAAGGTTACTTCAGTTCTGATTTCCTTCTCCATTTCACGAGGAATTTGATGGTTGGAGGGAACAGAAACTGTTCAAAGGCAGAATTACTTCAAGATAACATGATTTAAATAAAATTGCACATTAGAGTGTGCCATCACTTTCACAGCTGGAGTAACAACCCTGAAGGTCTACAGAGCCAAACCCAGGTCAGAAAATACTTCTGCATATCCAGAATGCTATATCCAGTGGTATATCCACATCCAGCCAGCACTCCCAGTGACTAAACCTTCCTGGAAACACTGGAAGAGTTCAGAATCTACTGACAGAAAACGCGCCTGTCAGGTACTTGGAGAGACATATCCTTTGTGCAATTACATCAGTCTTGAAGTTTATATCCCCTTCTGAATCCAAATGTTTTTGTAGTTTTGCTGAAACAACTGCTCCAAACCAGCCTCCAATGCTGTCACTGAAACAAAATACACTTGCCAACACCTCTGTCTGAAATAAAGTTTAAGAGAGTTACTTGGCAACCCCTACAAAAACAACTTCAGTCAGATCACAGCTTCAGCCAGATCTTCAGCTTCTTATCAGGAGCACGCATGGGCCCAATAACTATTTTGAACAGCCACATAATTTCTCTAGCATTTGGAGACCTTCCAGGAGACATGTTTTCTCAATATTGCGTTTCTGTTGGTAGGGAACTGAGAAGGAAGAATTCATTGATTTTGCTATTTAATATTTCATTAAATGCTTAGCTAAAATAAGTAACTGAAGTACACAATACCATTTACTTGATATCATCATTAGAAACACTTAAACGACAGTTACTGTCCCTACAACTCTTGAAACAATGTCACTGTTTCAGCATTTCACTGATGTTGCTTTGTGTCCTGCCAGCAGCACTGATCAGCAAATGGTTTCTTTAGATTAAACGCTCAAAAACTTTGCTGGCTAAATTGCAGATATCACAATACTGCCCTTGCAAGCAGAGTCTTACAAAAAAAAAAACCAAAAACAAACCACCAAAACACACAAACAAAAACCCCAGCACCCTGACAGCAGACCCTGATACCCTGCCTCAGAAGGACTCTGCTGATAAAAATCATACCGGTCTCCCCCAGTGTTTGTGAGTATTTGACAGCATAATCCCATAGAAAAATCAGAGGGAAATGTAGACGGTACAGGAAGTTCATGCATTTAAGACATGTCCCAAGCACAGGCTCAATGTACACAACGATACAAAGGAAAAGGTTTTCTACTCATCTTTTGCACGGCATAGAAATTTTCATAGAGCATTTTCGTCCTCAAGTAAAACAGTTATTTCAAGTGATAAAGATCTGTTAAGAGCAGCATACAAAGACAACTCCATTTATAGCTTCAACACATTAAGTAGACAGTTTAAATAGCATCTTTTTTATTCAAATGACAAAATCTGCGTTTTTTAATTAATTAGATCCATCATTCAGAGTAATCAGGACATGAACCACTTGCTAGATAACTCAGCGAAAACAAATGATTTTATAACCATCCAACATTAGCTTTGACATCCGATCTGGGCCACAGGTTATTGCTAAGGCAGCAGCAGCAGCAAGAGGAACTCTCACCATAAAGAATTTCTAAAGCATTCACATGACACTTGTTGCCAAGCACATATAACACTAATTTAGACCTGTTTTATATGCAAATCGCACAAGCCACCCTCTCCAACATGCTAACTATGCAGTTGCAAGCAATTAATGTCATCCACTGTACTGCCTATTTGCTGAATTTTGATTAATTTTGAGTTCAAGAGGAAACCATGAAGTTAACATCCGTAAAGCACAAAAACATTGCCATTCCCAATAAAGTGCATCCCAGCACCATCATTGCACAATGCTGGAAACTGACCATTTACTGCATTTTTTTGTTCCCTCTCAATTATTTACTGACCCATGGCAGCACTTGCTGCTTACCTCATGAGTAGCTGTGCCTCCTTAACAGTCTATTGTTAAGGATTGTCAAAAGCTTTTGAAATTCCAAATAAATTATATCTGATAGCTCTCTCCGACTCACTGTTTTGTTGCCACAGTGAAAGAATTTCAATAGACTAGCAAGCACATTTTCCTTTGAAGAAACTGTGTTAATTTACTGCTATCAAAGTACAATCTAGAGCAGATTAACCCTTAAAAAAGCATCAGCTAGTTTCCTCTGCTACTAAAGAAGAGCCTGATAGTCAGCAATGCCAAATACACCTTTGGTTAAAGGCACTGAGGTTAAGTGCAACACTTCTTTTCATACAGAGTTACTGATTTTATGGGAGAGTGCACTACTGGCTTCGATGCATAGGAAAGGGTACTCAGGGAGCAACAACATTTATCACACATACAGATAATCATAACCAAAGAGAATCAGTGCAGATAAATGTACCAAAAACTCTTTCATCTATGTAGGGACTTTAAACACCAACTTGGATCTGAGGTCAATTAGATTTAAATATCTCCTCCCCTTTTTTACAAAGCTAAAAGATCCCCTAGCCAGTATTCTGAGTGTGGAATAGCACCAGCAAAGGCTCAAGGGCTAACAGGCCACAATGAAACTATTAAAAATATTTGTAAGCCTTTTATAGGGCTGGTTCTTTGTTATCAGATGACACCAAACCTTGTCAGTAGGGAGTATGGGCAGCTCCTTACACATGCTGTGAGGGGCTATGGCCCAGTTCCACTTTCAAATGAAAGAACACTTTGACCTCTCAACCAGCAGCCCCCTTCCATGATTACATGATTCTCCCCTAGTCTAATCAAAAACACCTTATCTGTCACCGCAGCTGCTGCTGTTCAGTAAGTCTTACTTACCGCTGTTTCACCAAGGCCTTCTGAAGAAAAGATGGCAGTGATGCATCACACGTAATTGAGACCTCACAAGAAGAAAAACTGAGAAGTTTGCTGTATTCCTAAACCAGCCCAGACCACTCCAGCGAGTAAGATCATGGTTTTCCAGTGGTTCAAGGCAGCCTTAGAACTACATAGTCCCTAGCACTGTTACACCTAGCACTGTTACAACAGAGCATGCTTAAACCCACAGCTGTGTGTGAACCAGCAACTTCATTGGCAACACATACTCAACCAGTGACACCCGCCGATAACGTACAGCAAAGGCTTTGGCAACAAGTTAAAAACTGAATAGTATATCAAATATTCTGCAAACTACTGCTCATATTTGCGTAAGTGTTCCTGTATCAGTACTTCAAACAGAGGAAGTCCTGGGGAGACACGTTCATTTTCATTAACTGATGAGACTAGTAACAGATTTCCCTTTGATGCTGTATCTCACTTTATGACATCTTATGCTTATGGTCTTATCCTTTATATACAGCTGTGTCAATCCTCAGAACCCAGTCTTTAGTCTCCAAACACTACTGGAAAAAAGTCTTAGGGTGTTTTAAATACACTTTCAGTAAATATGGACAAGCAAGAAATAAAAGTTTGATAAAAAGAATATATACAAATGGAGCTCCATTATTTTTAAGATTTCCCATACAAACCACTATAAAATGACATTGAAATACACCTTAGACAACTTCCTAAGGTACTGAGAAACTGCATCCCATTAATCATATGCAAAACGTTGCACTTTGTATGCTGTTGATTTTATTACGTCATTGAACAAAACTAGCATTTCTGTTCACCATATACAAAACTATTTTTAAAGTCCCCAAGCATATGGCACTGTAAATAGACAAAGCTATTTGTCAAAGTAAAGGCATATCTCATATTTGCATCTTCAGTTTCAAGTCACTAAGTATATTTTTTCCTGTGACTTTTTTAATAAAAGGGGAAAAAAAGCAAAGTATTATAAATTGTACTCCTCCTCCTTTATGCTGAAATAAGTCATCAATTAGTCTCCCAAAACTAAATTTTTCTGATAATTACAAAAACATTAAATGGAGCTTCTTTGCAGTTACTACTTCTCTAGTCAGAAATGACATCTATCTTATTTGAAATGAAAGTCAGGGACTCCTGGCTTTTAAAATTAATAACTGGTCTGCTTAGACTTTCAGTAGCAAATCACAGGAACGCCTCCTGAAATCCAACACAGTCGAGGCAGCTGTTCCTGTCATCACAGGATTTGTCTGTTTATTTTGTCACACAAATTCAACCATGACATTTGAATGATTCTCAAAAACTTAATTCTAAGCAAAGGAAGATATTATAAAATATCTTTTAAGTGGCACAAAAAAAAAAAAAAAGACGTCTTGCAAAACTCACATTCCTTCACCACTCCATTTTCATACAGCAATAAAAAGAAACGCAGAACTGCCTGGAAAGATTAAGTCCTAAATCAGCTGCTGGGCTCCTCTGATTATCTTCACTGCTTTGGTCATGCTTTCCCCCCACCCCCTTCAGTTCTACTGCAGAAACAGAGCTATAGCACTGATGGGCAGACATGTTTAATTTAAGAATATTTAACACCCACCTCACCTGCCAGATGTCCAAGAAACGAGAAAGTAGCACTAATTATTTGAAAAGACACAGCAAAAAGCAAAAATAGTATTTTCATCCAAGCTCTACCTTATCTTTGTCTTCCACAACATCTGCCAGCACATCATCTGGGTCCAGGATTCCTCCATCTGTATATTCCAGGTGATGAATATTTACCCAGGAAGTTGGATCCTGTAAGACAGACACAAGACTCCTTAACCCAGCCTTTCAAGGGCTTAGTGCCATCGGACAAAGTAGTTTTGTATCCCATCCCATTTCCACTCATTTCTCTCTCTAATGGTGAGGTAGAAGCTCAGAGCCACTACCTGAAATTGAAACCTAGAGAAAAACAAAAACGACACATAACATTACCTATAGAACGCTATGCAAAAGATCTTTAAAATGTACATTTCCATTGCCTTATCATTCTTTACTTAATTTAAATAGTTAATAAAAAATAAGGAGTAATTAAACTTTTTTTACAATAGTTGGAATATTTGGGTTATGATCAGCACACACACGTAAATACATGTGTGTATGGACGTGCACCATGACTGAGTTTTGAGGTGGAGGGATGTATACTTTTATATATATATATATATAAAACCTCCCATCATTTCTTTCTCTGAGGAGGCAGGTCAGGCTATTGTGGCAAAAAACAAATGAATGGAACAAATAAATTCCAGTTTATTTTCACAAATAAATGCTCTCAAATTCCAGTGCAACACTGTGTACCATACTAACAGGGACCATGTTAGTTTTCCAAAACTAATGCTTTCCTCATATATTATTAACTACTTCAATCCAGTTTAGCCATTCTTCCACTGACCCTGAAGCCAAAACGCTCAGACCGCACTGCTCAACAGCAAATTCTCCTTGACATGAAATACACACAGTCTGTAACCACTGCCCCGACACCATACGGGCTACCTGTGTACAAATAACTTCCAAGGGGACAGGCTAAGTGGTAGTTTCTTTTGAATTACCTTAGTCAGCATTTGAACATTTATCCCACTAGGGCCAGCTATTGTGGTTTAATAAGCAGATGGCAGCTCATCAAGTCATAGCAACATGTTTCAGTACTCTATGGTATCAGCATATTGAATTGGCACATCTACAGCACACTGAAGAAAGGAAACATGCTCAATTAAGACTACAAAGTGTCTCAAAGTATTTGAGTGCTCCATCAAATATTACATGGACTGGCCAGAACATGCTAAAATGAAGGGTCAAGAAACTGGCATGCACACACACAGCTTTGAGAAAGGCTGCAGAAATGGACAAAGAAGAGCACTGCTGATGTGCAGTATGCAATCCCAATGACTACATCTACACTACATCTACACCTCCAATCCCTTCTTCATTGTCAAGTCTAAACAAATCACAGCTCTCAGCAGCAAAGTAAAGCACATCACACATGCTATATAGACTAGCAAGTTCCTTATCTCTAGTTCGGATATTCCCCATTTAATGAAGTCTCTGAGAGGCAGGGATATTCTACTCCACAGTTCAGTTTCAATTCTTCCACTGACAAGTACTGGTTTGGGCTGGGACAGAGTTAGTTTTCTTCATAGTAGCTTGCATGGTGCTATGTTTTGGATTTGCGACCGTAACAGTGTTGTAACACGGGGAGTGTTCTGGCTATTGCTGAGCAGTGCTGACAGCATCAAAGCCCTCCCGGTTCCTCACCCCACCCCTCCAGCGAGCAGCTGCGGCTGCACAAGAAGCTGGGAGGGGACACAGCCAGGACAGCTGGGGATATTCCATGCCACGTTACACTGTGCTCACTTGTAACCTTACACTTCTCCTCCCCAGCCCCCTGGGCGAGGAGTGAGCAAGCAGCGTGTGTGGGGCTTAGCTGCCTTCAGTTAACCCACAACCTTGCTACCCCATTGCACTTGGTTGAGGGTTAAGCATATCTAGGTACAGTATAGCTGAATGACAACCACCCAATTAAGCACATAAAAGTATCTCTTATTTGTAATATGTCTATTTAATCTGTAATTTACCTCTAAATACAGTTATTTGATTTTGCACTGAAACCATCCATTTGTGAAATAGCAAATAGTTGTTCATTCTAGGGATCAGGTGTTCAAAATTACAAAATTTAACAAAATCAATCAACACACTTCTGTTTCTGCAAAGCAATATAGTGTAGACAACTATTACAGCTGAAATCTCTATTAATAAAGCCCACGGTTTAAGTATTTTTACCATAACCACAAAATTCCAAGATGAGAAAGGCAAACAGGAAACATACCTCTGTGCAACAAGCAAGCATGTTAACTTAGATCAGACAATTTACCTAATGCAGAAGCCTTGTGAAGAGTGTCGTTTGACCCTACCAATAAACTTACAAAATACGATTCTCTCAAACTGGAATGCATCCGTAGCTACAGGTGCTCCTCCTGAAACTTTTTACTAATGCAATCACAAAAGGTTTTCCTAGTAATACTAAAACAGGATACTTGAAAACCACTTATCTTAATTAGACAAACTTCTACGGCTAACATTTTGTCTGAAGATACATTAAAACCGTTATACATATAATGTTGTTTAAGTGTCCTGTAGACAGAATAAAGCTGATGTGAAAAAACAGCTGATTAGAATATTTTGCTTTCGATGTTTGCTTCTATTTGTGATTCAGTAGCTGCACCAACCCAGATGTGTCATTGAAAAAGAAACAAAGAAAAAAAGGAGTATAAGAGCTCTATTGTCCCAACAGAATGCAGCAAGTTAGCAGCAAACAAGCTCGAGACACACAGCCACCCCAAACGACATTAAGCTTAACGAATCCCTAACCTTCCTTTTACTTTGGGCCACAACAAATACAGTAATTCAATGGTTTTGTTAGTGGCCGTATCAAGAGAAAGTAGTCTCTAAATTAATGTGAAACAACAGAAGATGCCATTCCTCACCAATCTTTGGAGGCAAGTGTGGCCAATGTTAGATTCTTTAAAAGACAGGAATGAAAATACACACTGAAATACAAGAACTAAATAAGAACAGGATTCACATAGTTCCCTTCACAGAAAAATACTTCTGAACAGTTTAGGTACTGCTCCTCCACACACTCTGACTCAGGTACACACACTGTGAGGCCACTATGACCTTGTGATCTCAAGGACTCCCCAATTACAGTAACCACCAGAGACGACAACAAGACTGAACAATTGCTGTTTCAGAAATACAGATGTGAAACTGGCTTCTGTTAACTCAACCAGGACTTCATCCCTGAAAGTTAGAAAAACAGCTACCAAGCACAGAGAGAGAGAGAGATGCTTTTCATAGACTTGTTTGATGAAGTAAACAGTAACTACTGCTAGATAGCCTAGGTGGAGGAAATTCCCTCTGCACAGTCACAGAAGTAACAACAGTTCATCTGACCAGCAAAATCACTCACCCCTTCCAAAGAGATTTCAACGTCAGAGAACATCATCTGTTCTTTGGATGCACTCCAAACACTGCCATGCACAGGATTCAAAGTGTCTATATAAAAAAAAAACCTAAAATCTATACAGCCATTTCTTCTGTGCTTCTTTACTCCCACCAAGAGTCCAGACAGCTTCAGTAAATAACACACCAATATTTTAGCTAACTCGCCATATGAAACAAGCCTTTAACTACCAGCAGACGTAAGAGCTGAACACCTTAAGTCCGAAACAGCATTGCATCCACATGATGAGGAGGAAAAATGAATGCGTATGCACATGCATGCACACACAAATACTCGTGTTTTACACGTTATTTAGAGCTCAAATGGAGATAGGTTTGAAGAAATAACTGCAGTACATCCAAGATAGAATCATCATTGGAGAAATCAAAACTTTCCTTAGAAAGGTATGGTCCTACTTTTAAGTTTCTTACGTTTCTGAGCGTCAAGAACACTTCTGGTTTCCATAGATTCTAAAACCACTAGGCAGGAGACTGCATTTCCAAAGTAACAGGGTAACTTTATAAAGCGTATCACTGGAGTTCTTGCAAAACAGACAGCTTTTCTGCTTCTACAGTATTTTCTGAAAGGTCTGAAAGAAAAGTCAGAACCCAGTAACAGAGGTGATAGGCTGTTGCAATGACACACATGTGAAGGGTTGATCCCACCTCGCATATGTTTGCTTCAATGAAATAACACTACCTACCTGTTGAAAGCAGAAAATGCTGGATTTTTAAAAATACAAGATAAGATTACACTTATCCCATTTTTGCTCAGGGAAGGGATTGATTAAGGACCTATTTACGGAGAAGGCACTTGCTGAGGAAACTACTAAATAAAAAAAAAGTGTAAGAACCATATTCTAAAATGCTAGGACAACTTTTTTTTTAAACTGACTGGTTCTAGTCACCTAGTTTGAGATTCAAGTCCTCTTCTAATGACTGACAGTATCGAGAATGATTCCTCTCAGTATCTTCTTAACCCTCACCATTGGAAGTTCACATGCTCAAGAAAAACGAATTAGTTCTTAAAAACAAAAGAATGAGTCTCTTGTAAAATGAAGTCCCTAATGGCAGCCTAAAAGCTCTGGGCAGCATTCAAGTACGGTTACCATCTCCCTGTGCTCCTATATGCTCTCCTGTTAGCATGGTCATTCAGCAGAAAACACAGCTACAGGTTTTCTTCAAAACAGTTCCAAAAAATCCTAACAGCATGAGTGGGGACAAGTTCTCTTACAGCACGGCATACAACCCTTATGCAGAAGTTTAGCTGAGGTACACAACAGAAACATCTAAATATGTCAAGAAAAAGTATGAATAAGTTACCTAGTATAATACATACCAGCGCTTCCCAAATGAATATTGAACAGTTACTCTAACGTGCATTTTACCTTAGGGCTGCAAGTCATGTTTGTGTTTAACATCAAGCCACTTAAAAGCTGTTTATCATCATTTCCTTTATGTGTGGGAGAACACTTTAGGAATTACTATGCAAATATTTACCAAATGTTAAATTAAAGCCAGGTCACATGAATGCACAAGTGCGATGTAAGCAGAGAAGTGACATAAATTTTAAAAAGTGGTTTTGACATTCATGTTGTCACAGAATCCTAAACTGTTGTGAAACACGTTCAAGGGAAAGACCAATCAGCCTGTAATTAAAAGACACTCCCATTCATTGTCATGGTTTTTATCAACGTCTATAGATACACATTTTTGATGTATCAGAAAGTTGGAGCATCATCCCGATTCCTTTTGCTCCAAAATGAAATAGGAAAGCATCAATCTACTTTTCTGAAAACTAAAGCAATATAATTCTTGAATGTTGCGAGTTATATAGCATATTTCAGACTATTAAAGAGCAAGAGAATCCTAACAATTTTAAACACATTTCAGCTGGCCCATCAATAAAATATACAACACCACTTAATGATTTCACAATTAATTATTGTTTGGTGCTGTTATTTGTTCTGCTGTGCAAAATGCATAAAATTAGTTACAATCCCTATCCTGAAATTTTTAATTTAAATATAGTAAAGATAGAATGCAATGAAAAATTCAGAAGTAGGAATGACTTAGTAAGACCCCTCCCACAATTACTTCTCAGGTTGATATTTTAGTTAGAAGCACCTCCACACTATTGCTTCTTTAGAGCAAACAGGCTTCAATGACATGCAGCATGAAAAAAAGATGTATTTAAAAAACGGAAATCACATATGCCTGTTCCACATCCACAACAATAGAACAAATGCTACGTCAAAGTTGGTGGGAAGGACTGGACTCTGGCTATGCTGGTTTCGGTCAGTGTAAAAACAAGATTAAAACATACACAATCACTATGTATTTCCTGATGGAGGGGATATTTTAGGTTAGGTCAGAGAGATATTCTACCACTTTATTATTTTTAGATTGTATTATGCAGTGTGATCTATTACCTCCCAGTATATTAGAATTATTTAATGATTTCTGTAAGCATTCTAAGGCTACAT